TTCAAACATAGAGAAAATATATTTTTCCTTTCTGTTTTTGTCCCATTCATAGTTCATCTTTTCTATTAAGGTATCATAGTCTTGATAATCAAACGATTACGAGTTTGAATTTCACTATCTTCATTTCTCTTTTAATTAATTAAGCACAAAGTAGTATGAATCGTGTAAATTTCAAACCTAAATAGCTTTTATTTGAGAAAATATGTTAAAAAATAATATAAATTATATTTTAAAATTTCGAGTTTAAACTTTTGAATGAGTTAATGATTTGACATTGTGTTTAAGTGAATAAATATAAAAGGAGCCACAATATATATATATATATATATATATATATATATCACACACACTCTCAAGGCATCAACATGAGAGGCTGTGCTTAAACTTCTTCGAAGGATTTATAATATGAAGATTTTAGGTTCAAAATCCAATAAGGTAAAACTTGAATTTTTTTTTTAATTTAAAAAAGCTTTTGAGATTCTCTTCTTCATCATCTGGCCACCCACTAAGTACTATTCTATTAAGGTTTAGAACTTTGGAAATCCCTAGCTATTGACTATTTAGTCCAGCATTAAGCCCAGATAGCCATTGTTCATGAAAAACGAAATTGACTTTGGACATTATATGTATGAGCACTACAAAAGTGCAGGTACTAATTATATAGTTTTATCTTTGCCAAAAGTGACAAAAATAATTGCTAGCTAACCCCAAGTGTATCTTTTTCTTTGCTTTGATCATGAGAGGAATTCTTACTCTCTTTTGTTTTTTTCCTCACTCTTATTTGCACTAATTTTTTTAAAACCCATTTCTCCCTTAGAGCTGAAGAATCCGGATCTCATCCTTTCAGAATAAAACCTTGGTCTTTTTCATTATGGTTGCCATTTTCTTATGAGTACTGTTTTTCTATGTAGCAGATTGTCCAACCCCAATCCATTTGAATGCCGTACGGTTCATCTTTCATTTTTTTTTTTTTAATTCTCCACTTCCTCTTCATGTACATAAAATAATAATTTAAATGAATTTCCTAATAGTCCATGTTCCAATAATAATTCAATCAAGTACTGCAACAAAACGTGAAATTGTCTCCATGTTTGTGCTTTATATTCTTCAAATTTTTTTAGTAAGATCTCATATTTGTTTTCAACTTAATTTAGAATCTATTTTTTTAAAAAAATTTTGTTTCGTACCTTCTGTTATAACGCAACCAATCAATAATCACCATATAATATTATAAAGTAAAAATCTTTAAAAATAGAGATGACATGTTGACCACCGATTGATAATTTTATAATGGAACGTTTCAAAATAAAAATTTTCAAAAAATAAAGAATCTCAACCAAATAAAAAAAATAATAAAGAGTCTTAATAAAAAAAATCGAAGAATACCAGATTTGATTGTGGAGAAAACTCATTAAAACTTGAGATTTTTTATTTGAAATTATCAAATTAAAACTTAAAAGGGAATGAGTGAGAATTTAGAAATAAAAAAAAGATTTTCCTTCATCCTATAATCTAAGATTGGTTAGACTTTCTATGAACCCAAAATAAATAAATAAATAAATTACGATAATATATCTAAATAAACAATAAATTCTGTGAAGTCTAATATGTCATGTTCGATGCCTTAAATTTCTAACACAACCAGAGCCTTAAAATTCCTGACTGATAAGAACAGCATTAAATTTTATTAGTTGAGTTCGTCAGCTATATATAAATCTCACGCTTAAAGTATGAGCCTTATTAGTAGGTATGGATTTATCACTTATTAAATGTTAGTAATTCAACCGCCAAAATCAATGAACTCATAAAAATTCTAGATACCGGTTTACTGTAATTGCAAGGGTGGCATATTATTCGACCTATATAAATTAATTAATGGTTAAAATTCAATACACGAAAAGCAAAATTGGATGGGAAGGACGTATATTGTTACAAAATACAAAGTTCAAGGGCTTGACTGCATATATTTGTAGTATAAGGCTTGATATGACTAAGATAGTATATTATAGAGATCAAAATGGTACACTTTCATAAAAATTGTTACTGTAAAAAGAAAACCTCGGTTATGGAGCCTCTGCTGGGCTTGCACGCCTTGGATTTTGAAAGCTGCTGCATTTAAAGCATCTCCACCTTCATTCCATGTTTGCCAATGGCGTTTCATGTGATATTATTTACTCCACAAAAATGTGTTAAATGCTATAGGGTCATTCTTACTGCCAAGTACAAAAGAGATCATCAAGACTCGTTCATGAGAGAAGGATGAGTTATATTAAGATTATGTTGATATTTGATTTTAATTTGTTGGAGCCAAGAAATTATTATAGTGCTGTTTTTTTCTATCCTCGTGATGTTTTTAAACCAAGTTTTGCATGGCAATAAGTTGGTTCAAATTGTAAAGATATGATAAATTTAATATGAAATTTTATAATCGATTATTTTTGTTGATTTGCTAACAAGATAGTCAATTTACATTTAATTAGTCCGATTTAGGAAACAAAAAACTTTATACCTTTCAGTTCTAAAATACGTTTTTTTTTCTATACTATATTACATTACGGATCGAATAAAATATATAAAATTATTTTAAAAAGTAATTTCAATTTGATAATAAATGTTATATTATACATTTATTAAAATATATTAAACTAAAGATAAAAACAAAACTATTATTATTTTTTTAATTATGCGTTTAACTAATTATTCATTATATTTTTTTTATATATATTTTTACCAAAAGGAACATGATATATTCTTTTATATCCGAATTTTTAACTAAAAAATCATAAGAAAATTCAAAAATATATGAATTTTTAACTAAAAACATTTTTCATAATTTTTTTCAAAAAAATCTGAGCCAAATTATCTATAAAATATATTGAATTTATTATATAAATTATATAAAAAATATTTTTAAAAAAATAATTATATTCTAAAAATTCATTAATATATATTTATTTGTTCATATATATATTCATGCTTATATAATTTAAAAATTCAAATAACAAAAATACCATATAGTGAATTCTGTTCTGTGTGTTACTCATATCGGAATAGTAAAAACCCACTTCTGTTTGGGTTCTTTGTCACGGCCAATGAAATCCTGACAGCAGGGTGAGAAAGAAACAATTTTACAAATTGATGTGTTCAAAACTTACCTGAATATTCAGTTTGTCTTAGGGGAAAAAAGGGTGTCAATTGCATATTGTACCTGAGAGAATTGGCCCACCCAAAGAATAAGTTACATCAAGAATGATTAAAGCATTGATATTGATGTAAAGTAATAGCTGCTTACATCAAAATAGGGAAAAAAAAATGTTTCAGAAAAGTCAAAGTACTCATTCCAATAAATAGCCACAAGGGAAGAAGAAGAGTGATGGCAAAAAAATAAAATAAAAAGCCAATATTATAAATTTGAGTAAAAAAAAAAAAAAAAATATATATATATATATATATATATATATATTTTTTTTTTTCTTTTTTGTTTTATGGATGACCAGATAAATATATTCCCAAGATGCATCAATTAGAGTGATAAAATATTTTCAAAGACAATTACTCTTGATATTGATGCCAACATCTTGAAAGAACTTTTTACTTTCTTTATTACCTCCTCACAATGGCTCTTCTTTTCAACTTAGCTATCATAACACTTTTAGAGCTTAGTTGTCACATATCTTCGCAACATTTTGGTGATCTTATAAGTTGAATAATGCTATCATGAAAATTAGAATCGTCTTAACTATTTTCATGAGTCTCGTCCTTTCAAGTTTTAGACATAAAAAGTATACATACTTTGACTCATTATACTTCGATTAGAGAGGCTAATCATGATCCCATTGATCATTTGCTAATGGGAAATCAACATCTTGGAATTTAGATTCTATAAAAAAGGTATTGGTGTCAAGTCATCAGTATGAAAATATGGTCTTCGTTGATTCATTTTAATTAGATTAGCAAAGTCTTCATCCCGAAACGCTTCCTAGCCCATAATTATTTAAAACACTTGCAGCCCACTAACGGGGCACCAGACACTTTGTTTTTGGGTTCTCCTCGTCAACTTGTAAGATGCACCATGAAATTTATAGCCCCAAGAATTGTGCAAAAGAGGCTCATATTGAATGGGCTTAGGAGGGGAATAGACTAACACGGTAACACAACATAGGCTTTGTTTGGGTTTCAGTATGCAGAAATGCGATTAATTTAATAATACTTAAGAAATAATTAATAACATGTATCCTATTAGAGGAAAGAGATAGATATATATATATAAAAAAAATTGGAGAGAGAAAAAAATTGAGCTAACGTGAAAGTTTTTTTATCATTTTTAGTAGTGTCTGATGTAATTTTATATGTCTATCTCTCTCTTCCAAGTGAACCCATAGAGTAACTACCGTACATATTACTAGCTACTCATTGAGTATTATAAAATTTCTCGCAGATATGCAACACAGAACAAAAAGCTTGAAGGAGGGTAGTGGTATGTGTGTGTGTGTGTGTATATATATATATATAAAAGGCTGATGCTTACCCCAATTCCCAAATGCATAGGCCATTTTGGTCTTCTGTATACCAAGACATACGTTAGTTAATTTTATTGTCTGTTTATCCGATTTTTAATGTTAATTGTTCATGCCACCAAACAGGATTTTTTGATGTTTTATTTACGTTGTTGCGTACAGTTTAGTGTTTTTCTCACAAAGAGAACATACATTTTAATCAAACAAGGGAAATGAAGAAGAAGAAAATAAAAGAAAAGCTTGCCAAATAATCTGTAGCATTATCTTGCCTCACCCAAAAACTACAAATTTGCACCAAGTACTATAATTATCACTACACAAAACTGCATTATACTTCTCCACTTGCCTATTTACAAACATCACTAACATATATAACATATTAAACTGTTTGATGCATTCATAAAAGTTTTTTTTTTAAAAAAAGTAATTAAGATTCGTTAAAATGCGGCAAGGCATTGACTAGTAGCTTAAGAAGATGACCCATTAGCAGGAAGGAAGATCTTGAGGAGGAGGAAGCATGCTTTGAGATGGTCCCTGACCATTTTGTACAATAAAGCCAGTGGCTAGACCCCATGAAGTATGTTGCTCAAGGTGGCAGTGTATGAACCAAACTCCTGGATTATCTGCTTTGATCCTGATAGCAGCCCATCCTCCACTTGGAACTGCCATTGTATTCCTCTCTGGAGGATCAACAAGATTGTATCTTTTCGGATCCTTGGCTTCGTTGAAGTTTCCAAATCCAGTCCCAACAATGAAAAAGTTGTGACCATGGACATGAATTGGGTGGTTCTCCAAATTAAGAAAACTTGTGTCCTGCAGCACAATTTCTATGTTTGTGCCATAAGGCACTACAGTAAGTTTGGTGCCGAATTCAGTGTTCATGTTTTGAGTCAATGGATCCCCACCAGTATAATCAAAAGCGTTCGGTGGTTTTTCTGGGAAATCAGAAGAGAAACTACTGACTGTGAGGTTCTTGTAATAGCTTTCTAATATCGAGATGGAAGGCCGAACAAACGATTGGTTGTTCATTGAAGCAAAGAAACTCTTTCCCCTGAAGCCCGAGCAGGTTTTTTTTGCAGGACAATCTTGAAGGTTAAGGCTTATAGCTATTATCACTCGCTTTTTAATTGTCTTAGGCACATTACATGGGTACTGAGGAGACGCAAGACTTTTAATCTTGTCCGAAAATTTTGTGGCAAATGCAGTGTCTTCTATTGCCGGAAGGTTGTGAAATTGAAGGCTACTCAGATCAACTGGGGGTTTTCCTTTCTGGCTCCTAGCATTCTTGTACTTCAAGAAACCGATTGTGGTGGAGTTGTTGAAGGGGAAAACAGAAGTAAGATAAGGCCTTGCTGCCATCACAAACATGCCTGTGGAATCTGGAACTTGGTTTGCTGTCACTAAAACAGTAGTGGTTTGGCCAGGAGCAATCATAATGGATGTGGTTTTAAAGGGTTTAGTGTAGACTGCATCAACCTCCACGACTGTCAATGTATGTTTCGCTACTGCAAAGAAGAGCTCATCTGCTAGAGCTGCATTGATGATCCTAAGCATGTACGTCTTGCCATATTCCACCGTCTGGATAAAAGTATCTACAAAAAACAAAATTACCAAACCATCTCAGATCATCCCAAATTTTCGTAGTTCACAAAAATGTAAAGAGAGACAGTGATGCTACAGTTACCTTTGTTAGAGCAAGGATAGAGAGGTCCTGGCAATCCATTTATGGTGTAAGCGCTGGAACTATCTGGCCCAGCTCCTGTCAACATCATTATCTTTTCAACTTCATCTGGATTCACATTCCACCATTCACCTGCATTTTATAACCCGTGAAAAATGTCAAGAATTAATAAACAAGATTTAGTCACTTGTCTATGTCTATCTGAGTTTCTATGAGAAAGAGAATGAACATTTAGTTACTACCAAAAATGATAGGCATTTCAGCTTGAATTGGAGCTGAGAATGGATATGGCATACGAGGGTAGATGATTAAAGCACCATACACAGATGCTCTTTGCCAAGCGTAATGAGCATGCCATAGGAGCGTGCCTCTTTGATCTGTAACAGTGAACTTGTAGGTGTAGGACTGGCCTCCTCTAACGGGGCATTGGGTAATGTAAGCTGGTCCATCCGCCCATCCTGTCCTTAGCTGCCTTATTCCATGCCTGTTGCATGGAAAATTCAAACTTTTAAAAAGAAGATAAGAACCTCTACAACAACTATGCCACATTTAAAAAAAAAAAAAATCTTATATCAACTTTTAAAAATTCTTTTGTTTTTACAACAAAAAACTTTAGTTTAGACCTTTAATTTAAGAGTGTCAGATAAATTCCGAACATCTACGTTGCATAAAAAAATTGTTTTTATCTGAGAAAAGAATTGAATACTTTATAGTTTCTGTTCTTGTCTACAATAAAGTGTCATATATATATATATATATATATATGATTGCCAAGTGGTCCGTATGTTCTGGAAAATGCGGTTTGTCATATCATATGAATATATGTTTTGGCTTTTTTAGTCATAAGGTTGGTAGTTTTTTTTTATCTTTGTGGGATTATAGAAATCTAAGAAAATAATCACATTAACACTAACACCTAAGATAATATTAAAGGCTACGTCATTAATGAGATGTTTATTGAGTAATGCTATACAAACAAACTTTCAGTACAAAATTCTCAGACAAACACATCTGGCAGTTTTTTTTTTTTTTTTTTATATGGAAAACCAATCATTTAAATTTATAAAATCTATACTTTACCACTTATAAGTTGAATTTATATGAAAATTTAATATAGAAGTTTATTTATGTATCAGTTTCCATTTTTATTATTGAATGGGAAAAGAAAAAGCAAAAGAGGTTTCTTTTATATCTAATTATTATTTTCTAATCTCAGCTAGGTTTTGGAAGAAATTTTTCTCCCATTTACTTACTAATGTGACATCTCACTAACAATGTTAGTCACAAATGTTATTTTAAGTGTTAGTGTTCATGTCATCATATAACAAATACATCAGCATTTGACTAATAAATACCTGCTCATATATTTTATTATTCAAAAAAAAAAAAAAATCAAACACCTATTTAAATAAAATAAAAGATCAAACATTCAATTATGAAATCAAATAAATTAAGATACTCAAAGTGGCTGGATAAAATTTTTTTTCATCACCAGGTCCATAAAATATGTAAATATTTTAATATATATATAAGAGATTAAAACGACTGAGCATTCGTTTGGTCATTAGTCTATTCCGCTGAAGCAAGTATGTTTTTCAACTATATACGCTTTTTGACCATTTTAATTTATTAAAAGATGGGAAAGTTCTATTGGTATTGTTTATCTTAATTTTAAAGTTCAAACACTAAAGGCTCTTCTTATTCTCTTATAACAATACTAGTGAATATTATACTCTTATAACAATAATAGTAAATATATTCATATTTTTTTATATAATATTCAAAATCTATTATGTGTTTTAAAATTTTTAACTATATTTCATTTGTTTTTAAATTTTTTAAAAATATTAAATCTGTCATTTTGATCAATTTTTTCGACTATAGAAAAAAAATGGATCTACATGTCCCTAATTGAAATTATTATAAAAAAAATGTGACTTTAAAGTTTTTTTTTTTCATTTTAATAAATGACATTTCGATTACAAATTTTGTCAATGGTGAAAACAAAAAAAGGATAAAAAATTTTCAAAAATTTCAAAAATAGATAGAATATAAATAAAAATTTTATATAAGAATAGATGATTATATTTATCCTAACAATAACCACAACAACAACAATTTCTTCATGTGAAGGGTTTATTAAGACTATCCCTTACCCTATAAATATATAAAAGAAGCCTATATTTTGGTTCTAGAATTTAACCATTTCATAGTTTGAACTTAATACATTTCCCTAAGGACAAAAGGGAGAGACGTGCAACAAAACTACGTACAAGGTTCTTTAGGGTTATCAGGGAGACAATTGCTCCAACCAAAATCGTGACAACATGACATTCAGTGCCACTCCATATAGGATATGGTCAAAAAAAATATTTGCACAAATAGATATTAGAAAACACGCAGGAGAAATATAAAAAACAAGAATATAAACTTACCAATGAAGGGTAGTATTTTGAGCAATCCGATTTTTGACCTTAATCTCAACATTATCTCCTTCATGAACAGCTATGGTTGGCCCTGGATACTGCCCATTCACCGTTAGAAGTTGCTTAGTAGTGCACAAACGCGTCATCTTCTTCCACTCAACCTGAAAAGCGTACAAAACATTGAATAATTCCCATGATTCTTTCGATCATTTTTCCAAAAAAAGAAAAATACCATTCTTATAATCAAGTCTACATAATGGTTTGAAAAAGCTACAAGATATAATGTGAATCCATGGATATCTTACATTAAATTGAAACCTTCTAGTTGTTTGTGAAGAACAAAATGGGAATGCCCCAACGATTATAACTAGTAGTACTAGCAAGATACAGTAATGTTTGTGCACACCCTCCATTACTACCAATCCAAGAAAAGTTAGAAAAATAATGTATAAACCAGAGAACAATAGCTAACACAATGTTACAAAGGCATGCATGCACCCCCGCTACTTATACTAGAAGAAAGTTTGCATACCCGATTCTGATGACGATTCTCTAAATTATTAAGACTTGATTATATTATATACATATCAACTTTAATAATTTGATATAAGGACATATTTTTATGATGCTGGATGCAAGGGTAGGTAAAGAGTGCAATCGGGCTTGCTTGGCTGCTATAACTTAAGATAATTAAATAAACAATGAGGCTTAATATTGTTTCTAGCTAGGGCAATAGTAGATCATCAGCAGCTTCAAACCCAACATTATTTATTTATTTTTGTAAATTACTTATCTACTCTCTTGTCACTTAGCAAACCAATTGGATTCTTAATAAAGATCTACTGTTAGAGTGGGTTGGTGTGAGTGCAAATCCAGGCAATAGGGGACTAGACCAGTATCTTCGGTTTACCGAGACAGCACAAATTCGTTGTAGTTTCCTCTGATTCTATTTTGGGATTGGTGTCGACGTAGGATGGTCAAATTAAGTGGGGATGAGAGTGGCTAGAGATCGGATAAGAGAATATTAAGCTGATGGCAATTTATAGGTCATCACTCACGCAATTAATGGTAGCTAACATACAAGTGGTTGGTTCCTCTTGCACAAGTCTTCAACAGACCATAGGGGTAGGAAAGAACAAATTTGTTAGAGGTCAAAAGCTTCTAAATGACAATGAAAGTTGGCAATGGCCTCAATGAACTTGTTCAAGGCCATCGAATAAAAGGAATGAGTTAGAGAAGAGGAGTCCATGTTCTCCATCTTCAAACTATCACCCTTCAAATGATAATTCATGATAGCTTAATCCGAACTTACAAATCATAATCCAAGCTTTAGTGCTGAAATCAGTAACAAAAACATTGAATTTTAGTGGCAATTAATCAATTGAAAAGCAATATTCTAGATGGAATGCCAAATCATGATAGCAATTTTGTTGTTCAGTGGAATTTATTTAGTTATAGGGACAATTATATCAACTTGAATGCAATCTTTATAAATCTTTACTTACATTAGATCCATGGACTCTAATAAAATTATGGTAAATGCTATGTATTAGACACTATAGATCCAATATTGTTATTATAATCATCATAACTATATATAAAATTATCAATTATTTAAAAACTTTTGATTGACTATTATATCTCTGATAAAATGATTAAAAAAAATACATTACTTACTATATTAACTCATATATTTTTTAATTGTATTTATTATATTGTCATTTAAAATTAAATATAGTTGAACAAAAAAAAAAAAAAAAAAAGAGAATTCAGTTTTTAAGTAGGGGTAAAGTAGTAAAATTTGAAACTCAATTCTTTGATCTCTTGGAAAAGACATACATTTTGGGATATCTAAATAAAGAAAAAAAGGACTCTCGTCATAGAATAGAGGGAGTATAACATATCTCCGATAATTCCACAGCTCACCTCTAATTAAGGAAAAAAGATCAACATTGAAGAAATTCTTGAAAAGAAATTATTAAAACTTAAAAAATAGGTTAATATTCTTGTTTTTTCATTGTTTTCCTATTTATTAACCACATAGAACCCTAAATAACATAAAATACAATTCATACATAACTCCTAACCTATATACAACATCATTAGCACTTATTTTGCCTATGAAAACATTAACAATGCTTAAAAAGAAGCTCAAAAACACCAATGATTTTATAAAGTGCAAAAAATTATTAAATTGGATCCTTATTTTTTTATATAATTTTTTTTTTTGTTATTGTACCATGTTACTTTTTACTTCTACAAACTGATCCACAAAATTTATGATATTATTTTTTGATGAATTTTGCTAATAACAGAAAAGATTTATCAAAATAAAATTTACTGTTAAGTTCTCTTCACATTACTCATAATTAAAAATAATTCTTTCAAATAAAAAGATTAATTTTAATGCCATATTATTGTACTAAACGTTAGTTGAATCCTGAATAAACTTTTGTTCACATAATGTACATTCCATATTCATACAATATTCATAAATTTATTTGAATAAATGACTTCTTTCCACAAAATAATTTAGAACGACTATAATAACGATAGTAATTAATCATGATAGAAAATACTCAATAATTTTGTAAAATTAAAACTGAAATATTAGCGTGATTGATCTAATGATTTATAAATTAAGTTTTATTTTTCAAATTGTTTGCAAGATTTTTGAACTATAGATATTTACTAATTATAACAATGCATTATAAAAAATATATATATTTCTAATTTCGAACTATGCTGGTAAATAAAATAGCACAAAATTTTTGGCGATTATTATTACTAAGCGATCTAATTATAAAAAGTTAAACACATGCATGCATTATAAGCATGTATATCCTAACTACCAGCTTTTTTATGTCTATAGTTTTTATTTCAATATAATTAAAATTTATTTATGTGTTTTCAAAATGAAACAAAATAAATTAATTATAAATTATCAAGCTTTACATAAAACTATTCGGATTTTGTTTTTTCTTTTTTTAAATCAATGTAATAAATGCTAAAATATTTATTATAAATAATTCAAAATAAAAAATATGTAAATGTATACTAGTAGTTTAACATTAGATATTACAAAAAAAAAAACTATAAAATAGTTGAATAATACACGTGTGCAAGACAACCCTTGTAAAGGGTGAAGACATCTAATTAAGATTGAATAATATATCTGAAATGACTAATTGACTCATCTAGACTAGAAAATATCCTTTTAAAACAATTAGGACAAGTTAATAAATCCAACTTAATTAGTATTACACTTGTAAACTCAAAAACTATTCAGTTGCCCTCCAAATCTCTCTCCCAAACTTGAGGCCTTGCAATTAATTATTGTGAAAGTATTTGTAATAGAATTTTTTTAGTATGATTTTTAAGAAATTGTCGCTGAAGTCAATTTTGTTACATGTAGTGAATGCACTCTAATTAAACATGTTAATAAGATGACTAATTGAGTATAATTTTTTTTTTATTAAAAAAAAATATTGGAACTCAAAACATCTTAGAAAAGGTAGACAGCGCTAATGCCATATGAATAATAATTGATTAGAATTTGTTATCAAGAGTTCAATGAAGTGAAATAACTGAAAGTTATTAAACTCAATATGCATGCCAAGATCATATCATTTTAACTTAAAGATTCCCTGCAATCTTCAATATGATGCTAATTGCTATCAAATAGACAATTAATCTAACTACATAACTTCGGAATTCATAAATAGAAAAATGTTTGATGATTATATTTTGAATTATTATTGACATCCAGTTTCGGAAATATTCAAATGTCATCGATCTGGAACCCATAAAAGAACTGTTACTGTCTTGGACCAGAGGGGAATCAAAGGAAAGGATGGAAATATTCCATGGGCAAATTTTAAAAGCAATCAATATTCATGCATGTGCCCAGATATTTCAGTTATGCCGACTTTCCAAAAACTTTTCTTTCTTTGTGTGATCGATGATTCCAAATTGTAGATGTCATCTCTTCAAGTAAAATCAGTCGGATTTCTGGCATCTTCATCACATCAAAGCAAGGTTAGGTAATTTCCGGATCTATATTTCATTATCATGGATTAAGTAGGAGCAGTAACTATCACTGAGTCATGACAAGCCCATGCTTCGGCTAACGTGAGGACAGAGTATAGGATCTTATATTACACTGCCGAATGTATAAATCCATGTTGAAAGAAATAAAAAAGGGGTCTTGTAATCGGGATAAATAACAATTTTTTTTTTTTTGAGATATCCTAAAATTAAAAAACATTCAAAAGTTTGAAGATTTGAAAAAAAAAAAATCAATTAAAAAAAATTCAAAACACCCTATTTCCACCTCCCAAATACCTTTAATTATTGTTTTAAAAACATAGTTAGATTAAAAACTCTAGAAAATTGAGAAAGAATATAGAAATATTGAGATGATTACTTTTTAGTACATGAATATTCTTTTTACCTTTTAATTTTGGTCACTTTTGTTTTGAATTTCGTTTTTAATATTATTTCTCTTAATTTTTAAAGATTTTTAATTTAACTATTTTGCTTCTAAATAGTAATAGAGCATTTTGGATATAAAAGGAGTTTTTTTTTTTGTTAAATATTTATTGTAATTTACTATTGTTTTTTTTTTTTTTTTCGGTAATTTCAGCTCTCCTTCATTAATAGTATTAATGAGCTTGTAGTTCAAACAATACTCTTATAGATGGGTGAAGTCTTAAATTTGAGTTTCACCTTAAATCAATTACTACTACTAAAGAAATATCCTAAAATACCAAATATTTCTTCCTAATAAATGCCAACTTAAGCTAGAGATTGTAAAATTAATTATGATTCACATGATACATACATCTAGAATATAAACTTAATTATATTCAATATATAATATTTAAAGTATCTTTAATTAATTATGATACATGTATATTTAAAAAATATCTAATTAATTAAGATACAAGATATTAATTATAACACATGTATTGATTATAACATATGTATATTTAAAATATATCTAATTAATTATGATACATCTAATTAATGATAATACATGATCAAGTCTTGATGGAAGACTTAGGTTAATTCCATAAAAAGAGGAATCGTGTCTTCTCTCTAACTCTCAATGTCAATAAATAAATAAATTAACCTAAAAAAAAAACTAAATGTTATCATACGGACATACTCTATGCAATCCCTTTCTATTGTCAACCGAAATATCCACATCATTGTATTTGATGGGTCATAGTGTGACCATTTGCATGAGTCGCACAAATTCCCTCATGGACCTCTTCAATCACTCTCCCGGCCTCAACTCGCATTAAGACATCTAAGCAAAGTCCTATCAAAAATCCATTTGTATAACACTTCACCATCTAAGAAAAATCCATGGCTAGCCTCCTCGAAGGCTTTCCGATCCATCTTAGAG